TAGACACAGTATTCCCATAGCGGTCACTAACATAAGAGGTAATATAATCTCCCTACTCCTACTTGAGAGTCCCTTGTGCTCTAGGCACAGAGTAATATATGCAGTCTGACACACTGGCACAATGTCATATCACTGGGCCGCCAGCTGAGGCAGGAGCAGATGCAGGCTGGAGCAGGGGCTGGCTAGCATGGAAACAGACACAGCTACTGCAAGAGGAACTTGTTAGAACTACTAGGCAATAGTATTATTCCTACCCAGGTGGTGACACTGAGCAGCTGGAGAGACCGCTTCTCTTAGGAGCCTATATACCTTCCTTGGGATCACCTGGTGGGTCCTTGCCTGAGGATTGGCTGAACTGTGGTTGTATGGTGTGGGGCCTATCACAAGATTTGCAGGTAATTGCGTATGATGTCTCATCACACTCTCTCGTTTAGGGAAGACTCATCAGACTTAAGCCGGTTCAGAGGTAACTCTGGGATGACTCATCACACACAAAAACAATGAGGAGTCCAATGGCACCTTAAAGACTAACAGATTTATTTGAGCATAAGCTTTTGTGGGTAAAAAACCCACTTCTTCAGATGCATGGAGTTAAAATTACAGATATAGGCATAAATATATATTGGCACATGAAGAGAGGGGAGTTACCTTACAAGTGGAGAACCAAAGTAGAAGGCCAATTCAGTCGGGGTGGCTGTGGTCCACTCCCTATAATTGATGAGGAGGTGTCAATACCAAGAAAGGGAAAATTGCTTTTGTAGTGAGCCTGCCACTCCCAGTCCCTATTCAAGCCCAAACTGATGGTGCTAGGTTTTCAAAGAGAAACTGCAGAACTACAATTCATTTGCAGTCTGTTTTTGAAGTTTTTTTTGTTACTTTTAAATCTGTTATTGAGTGTCCAGGGAAATTGAAGTGTTCTCCTACTGGCTTTTGTATGTTACCATTCCTGATGTCTGATTTGTGTCCATTTATTCTTTTCCGTAGAGACTGTCCAGTTTGACCAATGTACATGGCAGAGGGGCATTGCTGGCACATGTTGGCATATATCACATTAGTAGATGCGCATGTGAATGAGCCCCTGATGGTGTTGCTGATGTGGCTGGGCCCTCTGATGGTGTCACTAGAATAGATTTGGGGATAGAGAAGGCGACGGGGTTTGTTACAGGGATTGATTCCTGGGATAGTGTTTCTGTGGTGTGGTGTGTAGTTGCTGGTGAGTATTTGCTTCAGGTTGGGGGGCTGTCTGTAAGCAAGGATTGGCCTGCCTCCCAAGGCCTGTAAGAGTGGGGGATCATTTTCCAGGATAGATTGTAGATCATTGATGATGTGCTGGAGAGGTTTTAGCTGGGGGCTGTATGTGATGGCCAGTGATGTTCTGTTATTTTCCTTGTTGGGCCTGTCCTGTAGTAGGTGACTTCTGGGTACCTGTCAATCTGTTTCCTCACTCCCCAGGTGGGTATTGTAATTTTAAGAATGCTTGATAGAGATCTTGTAGATGTTTGTCTCTGTCTGAGAGATTGGAGCAAATGCGGTTGTATCTTAGGGCTTGGCTGTAGACAATGGATTGTGTGATGTGTCCTGGATGGAAGCTAGAGGCATGTAGGGAAGTATAGTGGTCAGTAGGTTTCCGGTATAGGGTGGTGTTTATGTGACCATCACTTATTTGCTCTGTAGTGTCCAGAAAATGGATCTCTTGTGTGGACTAGTCCAGGCTGAGATTGATGGTGGGGTGGAAATTGTTGAAATCCAGGTGGAATTCTTCAACGGCCTCCTTCCCGTGGGTCCACATGATGAAGATGCCATCAATGTAGCATAAGTAGAGGAGGGGTGCTACGGAACGAGAGCTGAGGAAACGTTGTTCTAAATCAGCCATAAAAATGTTGGCATACTGTGGGGCCATGTGGGTACCCATAGCAGTGCCACTGCCTTGAAGGTATAAGTTGTCCCCAAATCTGAAATGGTTGTGGGTGAGGACAAAGTCACAAAGCTCAGTCACCAGGTGTGCCATAGCCTCATCAGGGATACTGTTCCTGACAGCTTGTAGTCCATCTTTGTAGTCCTTGCACCTGTTCCCATGCAGACAGGGGGCATAGGGATGGATTTAAGGGGGCTCACAGTGCTACTGTACTGGCTGGAGCACAATCTAGCCCCATGTTCTTTATGTCTTCTTTACAATACAACCTTACTTTTACCATCAGGTTACTTTTTTCATCTGAAAGTTAATGGGCCTCTTCCCCAATATTTCTACTATATCCTTGAAAGTAGGATCAGTGTCTTTCAGTAACATAAGTGAGCACATTTTGAGGAGTTCCATAAAAGAGTTTCTATCAGTTTATAATTAGCATGTTTTACTGAAGATAAGCTGTAATGGTATTTTGTTAAGGCCTCCTAGCGGAGAAGAGAATGGAATGTTTCCTCAAGAGGAAACTAATTAAAAGAAACCAGGTCCCATTCCTGGCTTGGGACTGCTGGGAGGGTGGAGAGATGGATTAAAGAACATCCACTTGCAACCAAAAATAGTTCTAGAACCAATAGCTTTGTTGCCTATGGTGCCTACAAAATGTCCTCTGTTGGAATAAGAGATGATCTATGGGAGGCTTTTTGAAAAATAGCAGTTGTTAAAAGACAGGTATATATCTTCCTTAACCTCTGATTTTTTCAAAACTCCATCTGTTTTAAATGTCGTGAGCTTTATTATTCCAGAGATTTTAGCACATTTCCCCTGTTTATTATTTGCATTCCAATAGCACTCAGATGCTCTAATCAGGATAGGGGCCCTACTGAACTAGGTCCATACAAACAGATAGTAAGAAAGAGTTCCTGCCATGAAGGTTACAGTCCAATTTAATGCAACATGAATAGAGCTGTTTGAAACTCTTTCTGTTCTATAGGAAATTCTGACAATTCAAAGAAGTTTGCATTCGGAATCAAAATAAAAACTAGAAATTTCAAAATTTCCCACAGAATGGAAATTCAGAACATTTTTAATTTCAGAAACATTTAAATATTTGCATTCAATTTTTCTGAAACAAAATGGAGGTGCCAGCTGCCCTGACTCTGGGCTCCCAGGGAATCCTCTGGAGTTGGGGGCAGTCTACTGATTTCCTGCAGTGGAGTAAGGAACACAAGCCAGGGTTCTCAGGGCTTCCCAGGCCCCTGCTGTGAAGCAGGGAGCCTAGCTTTGGAGAGTCCCTTTCTCCAGCTGGGGATCCCAGGGTTTCCAGGGTCCCAGTCTGGATCCAGGACCCTTGGAATTCTTGCAATCCCCAACTCTGAAGTAGTCTGTATGGCAGAGCTGACCCAGAACCACAGATCCTGGAGCCCAGACTCCTCCAGCTGACAGGAAACCAGGCTGGTTTCTGTTGTAACCCTACCCAAGCAGTCTGGGGCAGGTTTCTAATGGAACCTTGCCTGTGTTTCGGTGGAGGTTTGTCAAAACCAAAATATTTCCAGGAAACATTTTGATGAATCATCATTTTCTGATAAATGTTTTATTGGAAAATTTCCAGCCAGCTTTAAACAAGAATGTTACAAACAAACTAAAGGAAAGGAGAAGAGACGATGAAGGTAACAGTGACAGAAATATGTGGTTACCTCTAGCCAGGTGCACCATTCGCTGGCTTTGAGTAATTCAACATTTTTGTTTAACGTTTTAAAATATAATAAGCAGAAAATGTTAATGAGATCAGACTACCCTACTGGTCACCAGGTATTTAAGGCCTTGATTCTGCAAGGTACTTATGAATGTGTATAACCTGAAGACCAATGAGAATACACACATGCTTAATTTACACACATGCTTAAGTACCATCCTGAATTGGAGTTTAAATGAGTTTCTTGAAACCAGAAGAGCAGAACTTTTTAAAATACTAACGTATATTGTTACATAGATCATGCATACACTTTCCTTTTAAATTTCAATAGCTTTCATATTTCATGCAAGTAAAAATTATAATGGTTCAGACACAATGTGGCAAAACACATTGGGGTTTTCTTTTTCTTTTCATGACAATTAATGCTAAATTAAAATAAAAAGGTGCCTATACCCTTCCCAAGGACTAAAATAAACACATCTTATGGAAAATAAGGGGCAAGTCCTTGGATGTCACTGTGGGGCAGAAAGTATAGCTCAGGGTCTGTGTGCAAAAGTGGCTTAAAACTCACCTTTGCTTTCTCCTAATCCTGCTGATGCGTCAGGCAGGGGACTGGCCCTGTACATTATCAGCACTCCGTGAGAGATGCATTGACATATCCCAGGCAACAAATGTTCCAAGGAGGTGAAAACACAGTTCAGAGTTCTTGGACTTCAAGAATGTCATGGATCCTTTCCCCTACTACACCAGCAGGAGAGAGAGTGAGAGAGAGGAGTGGCGTGAAAGCCCCTATAGCCCTGTCTTGATATGTACAAAGGGTGTGTTTTTCAATTATGTTAATTCAAATATGACAGAAAGCCTTCTTAGTGTTCACTAAGATGCAGGGTAATATATTTACAGCCATGTCAGCTGGCTATGTTGTAGACTAGACTTCCTGTACTACACTCAAAGACAGCTTCAAATTAGTTAGCCTGCTTCTTAATGAGCGGTAAGAGGACTTTCCTATCATGTTAAGGTAACTCAGATGAGTTAGCCCATCAAGACAGGGCTATGTTAGTTGTACCCAACTGTCAAGGTTCCTTCCCCACTCTGAACTCTAGGGTACAGATGTGGGGACCTGCATGAAAACCCCTTAAGCTTATTTTTACCAGCTTAGGTTAAAACTTCCAAGGTACAAACTATTTTACCTTTTGCCCTTGGACTTTATTGCTGCCACCACCAAGCATCTAACAAATATATAACAGAGAAAGAGCCCACTTGGAAACGTCTTCCCCCCCCCAAAATCCTCCCCAAACCCTTCACCCCCTTTCTTGGGGAAGGGTTGATAAAAATCCTCACCAATTTGCATACATGAACACAGACACAGACCCAAACCCTTGGATCTTAAGAACAATGAAGAAGCAATCATGTTCTTAAAAGAAGAATTTTAATTGAAGAAAAAATAAAAAGAATCACCTCTGTAAAATCAGGATGGTAAATACCTTACAGTGTAACCAGATTCAAAACAGAGAATCCCTCTAGGCAAAACCTTAAGTTACAAAAAGACACAAAAACAGGAATCTACATTCCATTCAGCACTGCTTATTTTATCAGCCATTTAAACAAAACAGAATCTAACGCATATCTAGCTAGATTACTTACTAAGTTCTAAGACTCCATTCCTTTTCTGTTCCTGGCAAAACAACACACAGACAGAGATACCTTTTGTTTCTCCCCCGCTCCAGCTTTGAAAGTATCTTGTCTCCTCATTGGTCATTTTGGTCAAGTGCCAGCGAGGTTATCCTAGCTTCTTAACCCTTTACAGGTGAAAGGGTTTTTCCTCTGGCCAGGAGGGATTTTTAAAGGTGTTTACCCTTCCCTTTATATTGAGCAGTCAGAGGACTTTCCTATCATGTTAAGGTAACTCTGATGAGTTAGCCCATCAAGACAGGGCTATGTTAGTTGTACCCAACAGAAGTGTAACCCTTTCTCATAGGATCATCATGTCAGAGTGCACCCTCATGCTGTGGCATGGTCCTCCAGGTGCCCCACCCTCATTTTTCCCTTCTCAGGTTCCTCAAGAGTACTTCTCCAACATTCTCTTAGGCTAATAACACCCAGGGGTAATTGATTAATATGGACAGCGCAAATCCTCAAATAAAGTTCAATAACATAATTTAAAAGGTTCAAGCTCCACTTCCTTCTGTGACTCCAGGGTCTTCATCAGTCTCAGTCATCCTTCAGACTGGTGGGCTCTCGGGCTTACCCCAAAGTTCCCTTCTAGAGTTGAAAAGCGCAAACAAAACAGTGCAAACAATATCCACCCACCCTGGGCTTAATCACAGTCTCACGTCCCTCCCACGTTTTTTCCAAGCTCCATGCCCCATGTACAGCACAGTGGCACTCCCCTGGGTCTTCCTCTTTTTCCAGAGTTTCCTCCTCCCACCATCCAGGCTTCTCCCTGTCTCCCTAGTCCCAGTGAGCCCCTGCAGAGCACTCTGCTCTCAGCAGCCTCTCTTTCAGGCAGCTAGAGCCCCATATTTGAGTGCTTTCTGTTGTTTTCTCTCTTTCCCCCAGACTCCTCACTAACTCCCATACTCGACTCATCCAATCTCCCTTCCTCTAGGGCCCAGGGTCAGCTGACCAGACACAGGTGCACTAGCCTCTTTACTCTTAGAGGACCAGTGCCACCTGTGACATCCTTACACTTGGTCTTTCCAGGAAAATTTGCATGGCTATGGGGTCAGATTACACCAGTGAAGCACCACCGGAGTGAATCTGGCCCTTAAACTCCTATATCTTTTACAATTATATCTTCCTTTTCTTGTGAATTCACTCTGCTAAAATCTCTATATTTCACCTCCTCGCCTTTCTCAACTAAGAATGAGTGCAAATATGTGAAAGCCAGTCTTGGATCAACAAGCATATGAGAAGAGCTAATATATAAATTAAGGGAGCAAATAGTTATAAGAGTATGAATATGTCACTTTTAAAAATGAAAGTAATTTCTGGAGATAACTGAACTTTAAATATAGTGTACAGACACTATTTTATGGGAGGAAGTTAAGGAAAGCAGGGTCCTGTTATACAAATATTCTTAATTTTAGATGGAGGTGAAACAGATGTAAAAATAAGCAGCCTCTTTTAAGTATTACTTCTTGCTCTCCTTCAAAATAAATAAATAAAATAAACAGTCTTTCTGACAAATCAATGGTATTCCATTTAGCAATCATAATTTTAAACTCCATTGCTCTTATTCAGACTTAATTCCACTCAAAAACAAACACAGAATGTTGCAAAATTGCCTGCTCAGTGCAAGTTATTTCCCCCATTACATCTTGAGAGCCAGTGAGAAGGAACACTTCATATGGACTTTACCTGCATTCCTCACTAATGGTTTAGGGGAAAATTCAGCTTCAAATATGAATTAGTTTATACTCTTAGGTTTATGAAGACAGAGTAGATTTGCACAAGAAAAACATCTGAGTAAGATATTGTGAACATTTTCAGACTTCATTCAGAGTGCTGATTCCATCTCTTTAGCTTTACTTTGTAAAGATTAAAAATATATATATATCCCTACTATGGAAGATGTAACTATCCCAGAGTTTTCCACTGGGTTGCTATTGAGTGAACTTTTGAAGGGAGGTATTGAGAATGGTATTTCTTAAGGCTTGCCCACACATTTATTTTGGATTAAGGGAGGGTGTCAATTTAAAGCATTATACCTATTCCAGAGTAACTCCCCAAGTGGAGTGCCTTTTTCCAGTTTACCTTAATCTACTTCCAAAGTTTATCAGAAAAAGTCACTCTTATTCTGGAATAAGAGCATCACATGGGGTGCTATTGTGGATTAGCTATTTCAGTCAACTTCTCTGTGTAGACAAGCCCTTATTTTGTATGACTATACAATAACAAATTAATAGCTATTCTACACAGTAAAATAACAGTTGACAGAATAGGACAGACTAATCCAAGTATGCTGATTGACCTCCAACCACTTGACATATTATTAATATGGCTAGGAGCATGTATGCCTCATTTGTCAGCATATTGCATCTACCATTTTAGGGAATCTCGCTATCCATGTTTCAAGCTTTAAAAGCTTAGTTGTGGTTTTAAAAGCGAAATCCAAAGCAGGGAGAAATTGTTTTTACCCTCCAGCTTTATCCGCTTTATGATGTATACTGACTGTCTCAAGGTGAAAAAAGGCTGCTTTTTCATTTCTATTTTTAACACTTTAGAAATATCAATGCCTCATTTCCCTCTTTGCTGGTGGACCCAGGCAAGATCTTTGGAAGACTATGAGATGCAGATATCATCTGAAATGGTCTAATGTCTGCTCTACATTAGAAAAATGACCAGTCAGGGGAGATTGGATTAGATTGGAGTCTCATGCAGCATCACTATTTAGGTCTTAACGTGATCTTACCAAGGTCCTTTGGAAAAGAGAGGTCACACTGGTCCAACTTTCCGTTTGTTTATATCATTGTAAATCAGGAGTAATTCTGTTCAACTCAATGGAGTTATACCAATAAAAAACTCCTCTGAGAGGAGATTCAGACCCATTGTGGGCTGATTGTAAGAACCAGCTCCCCCTGCCTAGGAAACGGAGCTCAGGTCACAGCCCTACTAAGCTCTTGTCAGTGTTCTCCAGCAGAGTAAGGGAAACGAGAACTCCATGCTTCCAAAGCAAAAAAGTAAGTATAAAAAAGTCTGGCTTTTTTTTACAATAGAGCAATGTTCATGAGCCCTTCCTTGCAGCCAACAACTGGTTGTCTTGAAGGAGATTTCAGATGAAAATACAAATTTTGACTATGACTGATATGAATATCAGGTAACACAGCTGTAAAGGGTTTATCATTGAAAATGGACTTAACTATACTTACATTAGAAAGAAACAGTGGATGGAAAAATAGATTTTTCATTTCTCAGTTCACTGTTAAGATGGTTCTTGGAGCACTGTCTGCACTTGAACTGTTTTGTTTTCAAAAGCATGCATTTTAAAGCCTTTTAAACTTGAAAGCTGTTGTGAACAATGTGCTTTTAAGTCTGAGCCCCATGGCATGGTGGATGAGGAGATGTTCTACCTCAGTGGGAGCGGTATGCCTGAGGCAGCCACAATTTCTCCGAGGAAGCACCCACTAAAGCAGCCTCTGCTACAGTCACTCACACGGGCGTATCCGCTGCACTCCACAAAAAAAGGTGGAGGCTGAGGTGAGAGGTCAGGTCCATGGCACAGTCTTGGGAATCTTCCCCTTCTCTGGGGAGCCTGTCACCACTAACCTGAGCAGTCCTTCATAAGGGTGCATTTGGATGGAACTAGGGAAGAGGCTTCCTGAGCTCTGATCTCTAACCTCTGGCACACCCACATAGGGTTAGATACACTTGGATGCCCACAGGACATCTGTAATACACTGGCAAACTTAGGCTGGAAAATGTCCAAAGTAGTAGTATGTATAATGCTGTGGTTTTATGCTTTAAAAACAGTTCCTCATTTGGCCTTCAGCTTCTTGTTTCCGCTGCACCAAGGTATGTCCTACCGTGTAACACAGCATTTTCACATTATTCTTGGCTACCACACACACATAACAGTTGCTGTTTTAAGGGGGTGACTAGGCAATAATAGAGCAACATCCTTTAGTTTCTAACTGCTACTCGTCCAGATACAAGTTCCCCTGCTTTCTAGCCATTGAATGTATGCATAAGAGGGATTTTTTTCAGTTATCACTAAACAATTATTGTAATAATGTTTAATTCAGCAGAAAGTGCTACACAAACGCTTTTCAAGGTGACAGTTCTTCTTTATCTTCTGAGGCAAGAGGGGTCTGTATGAAATAAACTTTTTTTAGGTGTTCCACCATAGCTTTTTCGTCCTCTTCCAGAGCTCCATCTTCTTTCATCTCCCATCTGAAAGAAAATATACTTTTGTTAGTTCCCCTGTATTTTTCAAATCAGTCATTAAACAAACTGATAAAAAAATTCAAAATAGACACCATCTGTTTATTGCCAAACGTATTGTGTTAACTGAAATTTCTGAACCACACTAGATATGAACAGAAAAAAAAATCACACCCTATGCAAGCCTTCTGGCATTTAAACTGCCAAATCTCTGACAAGCTTCCTCCTATGTCTATGCCCCAGCATTTTCCCTTTCAGTTTTGTATCACACCTTAATAGCAAATTGACCAGAAGCAGTGCAAAACTGACAGAGAGAGGTGGAGCAGCTAGCATGTGTTTTTGAGATGGAGGTTGGCAAATACTTCCCAGAGTTAATTACTTTAAAGTGAAAATCAGAAAGCACAGGATTCTCTATTCATGAACAGTGTGGCAGGTCATCATACTGTTAAAGGGTACAAATGAATTTAAAGAGCTTCCTTACAAAATGGCTTAGTTTTCTGAAAATGTCACATACACTGTCACCTCTAGAAGTGACACAAGCATCTTCCCTTTCTCTCATATGGATACCCACTCTAACCTACGATTAGCTACCCCTATTAAAATTAATCGCAAAAGTGTCATTGACTACAAAAGGGATTGGGATTGGATCCTAAGTGAACAACAGAGCACCCTAGATAGAAAATATATGTTTTAATTACAAGTATGGTCTCTTTTTACTGCATTCTCTGTGTATGTATGTTTTCACTATCAGTGATACATAGGCTTATTTTAAGAAATATTCTTCATATTTTATAATATTACCTTTCATATCATTATTAGGAACATCTGCAGGGAATGACTGTGCAGATAGTTATTTTTATTTAGCACCATTCATATTTCAGCATCAGTTATTGTAAGACACAAGGAAGGACATTCAAACATATTTATTAGTTTATTACGCAGAATTGAATTTGCTGATGATGGGGCAAAGTTTTACTAAAGTTCCACAAACCACTCCACAGAAACAGGGTTTTCTTTATACAATAACAGTGTAAGCACCATTTTACTCTCACTTCTAAAGAACAGCAATAAACATCTCCATTGTCAAGATCAAGAGTATTTGATCATTTCTAAAGACCTATTGAAAACCTTTCCAATAAATGTCATGACTATAACATTCATCTGCACTGGGAACCCCTCTTCCTCCAAAAATCTCCTGAAGGTCTACCTGTTCCACTAACATTATAGCATTACATCTCATTCTGAGCCTGATTCTGTTCTCATGTACACCAATTTTATACTGAATCCCACTGACATGAGGGTAGTTATTCCTGCTTTACGCTGATGTATGTAAGAATGGAATAAGGCCCTCTGTCTTGGGTCTATACTTTGTTGTAAACAAGTTTGGCTTTTAGAATAAGTTGTTTGGACCAGGGACTCTCTTTAGTCTATTTTACTGTAGTGCCACAGCCATTTGCAATGCCATATAAGTGATGATAGATTCAATTCCTAAATGTTTCTGGTATGATATCAGTAGCAAAATGGTGACCTCTCCAAGCACCCTCTTCCCCCTCCCCCCGCATTTCTACTGAGGTGAATACAGGAAATTCAAACTTCTCCTTTTCAGTTTCTGTCTGATTGGCTGCAGTAATATAATGACTTAGCACTTACCAACACTTTTCATCCACAAACTATTATTTATTTTTATTATGACAGCACCTAGGAGCCCCCAATCATGGATCATGTGCTAGGGCACTGTACAAACAAATAACATTGTGACAAGATGGCTAATGTTCACATGGTGGGTCCTGCACTTTTCTTAGTCTGTGTGTGTAGAGGGGGAGGGTGCTACGATGCCACCCCTTACCCCTGCTCTTGGGCACTGAGGACCCTGGTAGCGGCCCGGGAGGTGACAGAGGAGGGAAGCAGGGGAGGGTTTGCTCCTCACTCTGAGTCCCAGCCACTCTCAACCCCTGGGGGTTTCCCTCATCCCCCTTAGGTGGGGTTACCCTCGGTCCTTAGATGCTGCGGGGAGGGAGTCTCCCTTACTTCAGTTCTCTGGTCATCACAGCACACATTCCAATTCCAGTCCCAGTCCTCCTCTGACTGCCTGAAGCACGGGGTTTTATTAGGTTCCTGACAGGGCCTTAATTGACAACTGGTGCTCCAATTAACCTGCAGCAACCCTCCCTAGTCTACAGGGAACCATGCCTTAATTAGCCTTGAGCTTATATATTTCCCCTCTAACACTCTACCACTGCTCCCTGGCCCTCCTGTATCACAATATATTGACAGTCCCTGCACCAAAGAGCCTATAATGTAATCTCAAAACACTTGACAAAGGTGGGTAAATAATACGATCACCACTTTTTACACATGGGAAAACTGAGGTATAGAGAATTTCAGTGCTGAAGGTCATGCAGAGAATCAAGGTCAGTACCAAGAAGAGAACTCAGACTTCCTAACTGCTAATAAATACTGTCTACACCGAGCCACTCTGTCCTCGGTAAAAAGATGGAATATTTATCTGAAAGTCCCACTGACTTCAGTGAGAGTTTCACGTGCATATATGAGGGCAGACTGATACAAAATGATAGCAGTACATTGATATGCATTGTGAAGATGTATCTTTACTGCCAGAGGGGATTAGAAATTTTGTTTTTTAAATAAAAATGTAAGGTCTTGCAAACATAGCAAAATCTAGAGAAACCGTGCAGGAGATCTTAGATCTCAGGATCTCATGGACAGCAGGAGTAGATGACCCTCAAAGCCAGGGATCGGCAACCTTTGGCCTGCAGCCCGCCAGGGTATGCCCCCTGACAGGCCGGGCCAGTTTGTTTACCTACCGCGTCCGCAGGTTCGGCCGATCACAGCTGCTACTGGCCGCGGTTCACCACTCCAGACCAATGGGAGCTGCGGGAAGCGGTGTGGGCCGAGGGATGTGCTGGCTGCCACTTTCCACAGCCCCCATTGGCCTGGAACAGCGAACCACAGGCAGTGAGAACTGCGATTGGCCAAACCTACAGACGTGGCTTAAACAAACCAGGTCGGCCCGCCAGGGGGCTTACGCTGGTGGGCCGCATGCCAAAGGTTGCCGATCCCTGCTCAAAGCAAATATCCTGATATCATGCAAAGTCATTAGTAAAAATGGGTAAACAATATGAATAACTGTTTCAAAACAAAGTTTTTCAAAGTGTTTCCTGAAGCATTAGTGGTTAAGACTTCCATAATTTGTAATCCAATACAACCAAGTTTAACATATACCTTACAGAATTCTGTATAAAGAAGACAACCATTGCCAAATTATCCTTACCCTCGAAGGAAGGATAGTCTTGTGGCTAAGGTACATGATGGAGACGCAGGAGAGCTAGATAATATTCCCAGTATTACCACAGTCTCGTTATGTAATCTTGATAAACCTTTTAATCGCTGTGTGCCTCCTTTTCCTCACCTATATAATAATATATTTCATCAGAAGGAGTTGTGATGTTTTATTCATTATTTATAAGATGCTGAAATACTGCTGTGATGAGGTCTATAGAAATGCCAATAAATAAAATATACGTTCTATTGATTACCACCACATACAAAGGCAAAACAAATTACAAAAACTATAAAATGCAGAAAAATTACCTTTGCATTTTACAGATTGTGATATGTTTTATTTATCAGTGTCAAAACAGATTCCAGCTGTTAATAAAACCATTAATTGATTCTTGATTAAGCAGGATATTGACTAATTTAACTGCCAAGGAAATAAGGCTAACTCTGTCTAAGAAAAAGCAAAACATAAAAAGCTGTCTGGTGTTTGTTCTTTTTTGCATATGTATGCAACCCACACACCTCCTGGGTGTGGTGTTCTGCCCATCTAGTGGCACTGAGAACAGTTAGAGAGAGAGAGAAAGAGATTGAGTCTGATCTACAGCCTCAGCTAATAGTCAATTAGCTTTTCGCTTATACAGTAGAGACTCATGCACTAAGCTCCAGTCTGTCAGTGTTATATGCTTTATTGCAATTTAATACTTTATAAATACTCAGCAAAATTATTATTGTATAAATAATGTTATAAGCTGGATGAAACCTTATTATTAATTGAGTTAAAACCTCATTCAAACTGATGTATGAACGCATCCTTCATTTAAGACAGCTAAGAGATAGTTAAGGTTCTCAACCTGTGGTCCATGGACCACTGGGGGTCCAACAAACTATCATAGAATCATAGAATATCAGGGTTGGAAGGGACCTCACGAGGTCATCTAGTCCAACCCCCTGCTCAAAGCAGGACCAATCCCCAACTAAATCATCCCAGCCAGCGTTTTGTCAAGCCTGACCTTAAAAACCTCTAAAGAAGGAGATTCCACCACCTCCCTAGGTAACCCATTCCAGTGCTTCACCATCCTCCTTGTGAAAAAGTTTTTCCTAATATCCAACCTAAACCCTCTCCACTGCAACTTGAGACCATTACTCCTAGTTCTGTCATCTGGTACCACTGAGAATAGTCTAGCTCCATCCTCTTTGGATCCCCCTTTCAGGTAGTTGAAAGTTGGATAGTATCAAATCCCACCTCATTCTTCTCTTCTGCAGACTAACAATCCCAGTTCCTTCAGCCTCTCCTCGTAAGTCATGTGTTCCAGTCCCCTAATCATTTTTGTTGCCCTCTGCTGGACTCTTTCCAATTTTTCCACATCCTTCTTGTAGTGTGGGGCCCAAAACTGGACACAATACTCCAGATGAGGCCTCACCAATGTCAAATAGAGGGGAACAATCACGTCCCTCGATCTGCTGGCAATGCCCCTACTTATACAGCCCAAAATGTCATTAGCCTTCTTGGCAACAGAGCAAACTGGTGGCTCACTGTTGACTCACAGTATTTGTTTTATTCCTAATTTGTAATTAGTGTTGCAACTTTTCAACCTGAGCAGCTAGTCAAACTTCAGAGACCTGTGAGGTTCCAATTGGAAGTAGAAATTGATAGAGTCTAGTATTTTCTTTGATGTAATTTTATTATATACAAGGAATACACTGTGTGC